CCCCAAAACCCCAAAACCCCAAAACCCCAATTCAAGAGAATCTGTTGGATAATTTAAATTTTTATAGATTTACCAGAGGAAGTTAATATTAAATAAAATGGAAAGCTACTCTGGCTCGTAAGTGGTTTTCTTAGCTCTTTGTTTGCAAACACAGTGGCTTATCATACTGTAGATCAGAGATTGATGAGACTAACTTCAATGATGGCAAAAGGATCTATATGAATCAGCTAGACACTTATCCACCACTAGATGAAGGAAGGTACAATTCCAGATATTTAATCTTTAGCACATTTTCAAAATTTCTGTATATTGAGCAACTATTCCACAAGAATCTGAATGCGAAAGATAAAGAGAGCATGTGTGAGAATGTTCTCTTAACATCTTATGTTTGCAAAGAAAGACCTCTTCTTAACCATCTCTTTAAGGCAAAAGTTCCATGCACAATTATAAAGGAGCCTAGAGGCAAGGGGAAGGGAAGAGACCCTGTACAGGAATTCAAGCATTGCCGATTTATTATTCCTCTTAATAGGATAGGCTTTGGATGTTTTCATCCAAAGATAATGTTCATCAGGTTTGAGAATTCACTCAGATTGGTGATTTCTTCAGCAAATTTATATGAAGTTGACTGGGCTCAGTTAGGGCAAGTTATTTGGTTCCAAGACTTCCCAAGGAACGTTGATGATAATGCACAAGAGAATGATACTCTTGAGGTGTTGGAAAGCTTCTTAGAGAGCTGTGTTGATGAAGATAGTAAAGAAATGCTGATGGATTTATCAACTAAGCAGTACCAAGAGTTTGAATGTCCTACGAATATCGAGGATATTAAAATTACTCACTTTGTGAGAGGAGGTTTGAACCTATCAGATTATGATTTCAATTCATGTTCAGTCAGATTTATCCCTTCCATAAATGGTCAAATCAAATCAGATGAAAAAGAGAAATACGGTCTTTATAGATTTGCAGACTTGATATCTCAAAATGAATCTGTTAATATAAAAGACACATCTAAGATTATCTATCAATGTACAAGTTATGGAAACCTTAAGAAAGAGTATCTTGACAAATATGTAGATACTCTTACTGGAATGATAGATACAGATGGGCTATCTCTCCCTGAAGTCACAGAGAGGCCAGAGTTGAAATTGATTTATCCAACCCAAGATTATGTTGACAAGATCAAAGAAAAGAACAGTAAGTTACTCTCTCACATCTATAGAACGAGAAGTAAATTGCTTGAAAATGAATGAGAAAAAGTGGGTAAATAATCCTGAATATCCAAAAGAGATGTTTTATAAATTCGATGTTCTTGATCAGTATAAGCCTGACCATGACTTAAATCCGCACCATACCAAGGCAATAGTCATTACAGATGGTGAATCTGATGACATCAAGCCGATTTGCATCTATATTGGGTCTCATAACATGTCTGCTGGAGCATGGGGAACAAGAACTGTTACACAAGTAAGTCATTCCCCTTACATGAAATAGGAAAGCGATGACGTTCAAATGACTAATTACGAGTTTGGAGTGGTGTTCTTTCCTGATGAAGATGGCACACTGGACAGAGTTTACAACTCCTTCATGCATAGTTGCACTCCTGAGAAATATTCTGAAGATGATATGCCTTACATCATCCAGCACAAACTTAGGAAGTCTCAGATTGAGAAGTCAAAGAAGCAGGAACAAGAAGAAGCCAAACAAACAGAAGCTTGCTAGACTGCTGAAATACCCATGATGATATTAAAACTTATTAAAATCAATGATAAGTGCTGAAGCTGGGGTTTTGGGGTTTTGGGGTTTTGGGG